AGGACGACAACGAAGACGACGGCGACGCCGACGACGACGACGGACGACGACGACGGACGACAACGACGACGACGACGACAACGACGGATGACGACGACGGGCGACGACAACGACGACGACGAGGACGACAACGACGACGCCGACGAAGACGACGGACGATGGACGACGACGACGACGGACGAAGACGGACGACGACGACGAAGACGACGACGACGACGACGACGACGACGGACGAAGACGGACGAAGACGGACGACGACAAGGACGGACGAGAACGAGAACGACAACGACGGACAACGACGACGACGAACGACGGACGACGGACGAAGTCGACGACGACGGGCGACGACGAAGACGACGACGACGACAAACGACGACGACGGACGACGACGACAACGACGCTGACAGCGAAGACGACGACGACAACGACGACGACGAACGACGACGGACGACGACGACGACAGACGACGACGACGGACGACGGACGACGACGACGACAGCGACGACGACAACGACGACGACGGACGACGACGAACGAGGGCGACATCGAATACGACGACGACGCCGACGACGACGACGACAACGGACGACGACGACGGACGACGACGACGACGGACAAACGACGACGGACGGACGACGGCGGACGACAACGAAGACGACGACGACGACGGACGACGACGACGGACGACGACGACGACAACAACGACGACGGACGACGACGACGCCGACAACGAAGACGACGACGACGACGGACGACGGACGACGACGACGACGGACGACGACGAAGACGGACGACGGACGACGGACGACGACGAAGACGGACGACGACGACAACGACGACGACGACGGCGACGACGACAACGACGGACGACGGACGACCACGACGACGACGGACGACGACGACGGACGATGGACGACAACGGCGAGGACGACAACGAAGACGACGACGACGACGGACGACGACGACGACGACGACGACGACGACGAACGAAGACGACGACGACGACGAACGACGACGGACGACGACGACGACGACGGACGACGACGACGACGACGACGACGGACGACGGACGACGACGACGACGGACGACGACGACGACGACGACGAGGAGGAGGACGACAACGAAGACGACGACAAAAACGCCGACGACGACGACGGACGACGACGACGGACGACGACGACGACGAACGACGACGGATGACGACGACGGACGACCGACGACGATGACGACGAGGACGAGAACGACGACGACGACGGACGACGGACGACGACGTCGACGGACGACGACGACGGACGACGGACGACGACGACGACGGACAAACGACGACGACGGACGACGACGACGACGACAACGACGACGACGACAACGACTAACGACGAACGACGACGAACGACGGCGACGGACGACAACGACGACGACGACGACGACGACGGCACGACGACGACAACGACGACGACGAAGACGACGACGACGACGACGGACGACGACGACGACGACGACGACGAAGACAACAACGAAGACGACGACGACGAGGACAACGGACGACGGACGACGGACGACGAGGACGACGGACGACGACGACGACGACGACGACGACGCCGACGGTGACGGCGACAACGGACGACGACGACGACAGACGACGACGACGACGACGACGACGGACGACGACGACGGACGACGACGACGACGACGAGGACGACAATGAAGACGACGACGGCGACGACGGACGACGACGACGGACGACGAGGACGACAACAACGACGAAAACGAAGACGACGGAAGGCAACGACGACGGACGACGTCGACTGACGACGACGACGACGACGACGACGACGAGGACGACAACGAAGAAGTCATCGACGACGGACGACAACGACGACGACAACGACGGACGACGACGACGACGACGACAACGCAGACGACGACGACGACGACGACGGACGACCACGGACGACGACGACGACAACCGACGACGACGACGACGAGGACGACAACGAAGACGACGACGACGACGGACGACGACGACCAGGACGACAACGACGAGGACGACAACGAAGACAACGACGACGACGACGACGACAACGACAACGACGACGACGGACGACGACGACGGACGACAACGACCAGGACGACAACGAAGACAACGACGACGACGACGACGACGACGGCGACGACGACGACGGACAACGACGACGGACGACGACGACGACGACGACGAGGCGGAGGACGACCACGACGACGGACGACGACGAAGACGACGACGACGGACGATGACGACGGACGACGACGACGACGAGGACGACGACGACGACGACGACGGACGACGACGAAGACGACAACGACGGACGACGACGACGACGAGGACGACAACGAAGACGAAGACAACGACGACGACGACGACGACGACGACGACGACGACGACGGACGACGACGACGGACGACGACGACGACGAGGACCACAACGAAGACGACGAGGACGAGGACGAGGACGACGACGACGGACGACGACAACGACGACGAGGAGGACGACAACGACGACGAGGACGAGGACGATGACGACGACGAGGATGACGGCGGACAACGACAACGACGACAACGACGACGACGAGGAGGACGACGAGGACGGCGACGCCGACGACGAGGACGACGAGGACGACAACGACATCGACGACAAGAGGACGACGAGGATCACAAGGACGACGACGAGGACGACGACGAGGAAGACAACGAGCCTTATCACGCCTTACCTGCCCCGATACGCATTACGCAACCCGTAGCGTAGTAGCACGGAGCTCAACACGTAGATTGGAAACGCAGGTCTGGCACGATACGTTCGCCAATACGTGGGCCAACACGTGCGTGAGACGTGTCGAACACCGTACGTATTGAGTTTCAACACGCGCGTGTCAGGACAGCTAAATGTCACGCAGTTTGACAAAGAGGAGGGGGGAAACTTACGAAGCCCCCCCTTCAGGCCCCCAGTTTTCGGGATACCACTCCCCAGACCTCTCCCGTAGTGCGTTCTGACCAGAATTTCGAGGCGAATCTAGCGGTGGCGACAAGGGCCTCGAGTCCCAAAAAGTGGAAAACCAGGGAAGGGTAGAGGTATGGGTACTTTATCCTCCTCTGAAGTTTAGGAGGGAAGGAGGGTGGTGTAGCTCCGAAAGTTCCCACACCGCCCACTGGAAGGGAACTCTCCGAGCGCGCGTCTTCAGAGAAACGGCCAGCGTGCGGCTGGCGGGGCGGGAGTGAGGATTTCTCGCACCAGGCCCCAGGAGGAGGAGAAGGAGGAAGAGGAGGAGGAACAGGAGGAGCAGAAGAAGGAGGAGGAGGAGCAGGAGGAGGAGGACGAGGACGAGGAGGAGCAGGAGGACGAGGACGAGGAGGACGGGGAGGAGGAGGAGGAGGAACAGGAGGAGGAGGAGGAGGAGGAGGAGGAGGAGGAGGAGGAGGAGGAGGAGGAGGAGGAGGAGGAGGAGGAGGAGGAGGAGGAGGAGGAGGAGGAGGAGGAGGAGGAGGGAGGAGGAGGAGGAGGAGGAGGAGGAGGAGGAGGATGGAGAGGAGGGGAGGAGGAGGAGGGGGAGGAGGAGGAGGAGGAGGAGGAGGAGGAGGAGGAGGAGGGGGAGGAGGAGGAGGAGGAGGGGGAGGAGGAGGAGGAGGAGGAGGAGGAGGAGGAGGGGAGGAGGAGGAGGAGGAGGACGAGGAGGAGGAGGAGGAGGAGGAGGAGGAGGACGAGGAGGAGGAGGGCCTGGTGCTCGCAGGCGACGCAGGATTAGGAGCTCGAGCTTTTGAGGATTAGCCATGGGCGTGAGAGTGGGCATGCGCAGACCTTGCATTTTGGGCCGCCGCTCCGCTCAGTAGCGATGGCGTCAAGCGCGGCGCCTCTGGCACAGCTCTGGGCGGGACGGAGCTGCGAAGAGGCCGAGGGAGGGCTCGACACCTGCACGGCGGATGCAAGTTCGTGATAGTACTTCACAGAGGCCTGCTTCTGGGCCTGGCACGGTGTGCGTCAGGCGCCACTGCTGAGGGCAGCGAGACTCATAAACTCCTACGTGGTGGCCAGAGGCGCGGGTAAAGCAGTCCCCATAGTAGTCGTGCCTAGCGTCATGGACGCGCACCTCCATGCGCAAACCATGCCATTCGCGAGAAGAATCGGGGCAGGATCATGTGGTGACCAACTGGCCGGTTCCAGAAAAGTTGGACCGACAACTGTTGACGACATCTCTTGGGGGGCTGGTTTCACTTCCGCCGCCTTCCGCCGAGCTTCCGCCGGGGAAGAGATGTCACCTTCTCGATCACTCGAAGCCGAAGTCCTTTTTGTAGAACGCCCCAAATGTTCATGGAGAGGAGCTCGGAGCGAGAAACTTGATTGGGAAGGTGGGGAGCATTACATGCGGAGACCTCGGAGCCTAGGAGGAGGCGGAGGCAGAGGATGGAGGAGAAGGAGTAAGCGAGAAGAGGTTCTCCTATCCACTCGAGCCGCTCACAACCACTGCAAGTTGCAACCCCCGCGCACTCCTCTGCGGCCTGCGCAATTCAGATAAAGACAAGCCGACCTTGTCTGGATTGCAACCTGTTCCATTTCGTACACGCCAGCGGCTGACAGCGAACTGAAAAAGCCCAAACACAAGCACTGCTGCTAGCGTCTGCATGTCGCGAGGCCTCTGACTGGAACGCAGACATGCTGCAGCTTCACTCCTGCACCTGGACGGCAGCCCAGCCCGCCGACACAAGTGAAAGGCATTTCTCCCGAACTCTGCTGCACAACAGCGGGCCCCGCCTGCCTTCTGGTCCGCGCATGGACGTGCCCTTTTCGAGAGCCGGCCCGCGAGCGCCATGGTCGATGAGCTCGATGCCGCGGGGGCCGCTGGTGCTGAAGACGCGGCGGCGCTCGATCATGCCGTGGGCCTCGTAGAGGAGAAGGCCGCACACCAGGCGCACGTCCCGGCGGCGGGCGCCGCGGCGGGGCCGACGCCTTCGCCTTCGGCGGGGCAGGCGGTCAGCCTGCCGCAGAGGCCGCACCGGGTGTGCGGCTCGGCGAGCAGCGGGGCCAGGGTCCGCTGGCAGACGGGCAGCGTGTGGCACCCGCAGGACGCGCTCGTGAGCGCCGGGTCCGCCGTCGCGGCCTGTGGGGGCACGCACGGGGGCGTGGGGCGAGGGGGAGCGGGGGGCCTTCCAAGAGAGCGGGGGAATTCGTGGAAGGGCTCAGGAGCTCATGCGAAGGCGTCCGAGGCGGCAGGATGGCCTCGTGGAAGCTCTCTGCCCTCTTGGGAGGACCCCCCCCTCGCGCCACCCCCGTCGGCGGGCCGCCGAAGCCTCTCCGCACAAGCGGCACGGCGCAGAGAGCGCCACTGGCCGAAGGCGCTTGCGGGACCCGCGGCGGCAGTGGGCAAGGACCTCGCTGGCCGACGAGCCCAGTGAGCTCTCCTCGGCTACGCACAGGAGTGACTCTAGGCAAGAGTAATTAACTATTGGTGCGCGGCTCTAGGGCATCGTGGAACGGCGAATCTGAGCGCACAAGATCGTGCTGGGGGGACCCTGTGTGCTTGGGAGTTGTTTACCGGGGGGGCGAGAAATTGGGGGAGATGCGTGCAGATCTCATCTCCCCATTTGGGGCCCAGGGGCTCCTCTAAAACCCCCCTCGAAATCAAACGCAAGCAGCTTTTTATTTGACCCCCTCGCCCCCCAATTTCAATGTTGATGGACGCGCGCAGCGCGGCCCGCGGGGTAAACAAAAAAATGCAGTGGCCAGCATCGGCGTCAACATTGAAACTGAGGCCCTGGGGCGTCGCCATGGTGCGAGAAGAACCTGCGCTTGATTCCGAGGAGGGATGTAGGGCCCCTTTAGGACACAGGAGGCGCACCTTGCTTCATCCCCCCCCGGTTGATCGCCCCCCCATGACGCAACGCCCGATGAGCCCGCACCCAATGTTACTCTGGCGAAGGGCCACCCTGCTGCGCAGCCGATCTTCACAGGCGGCCAGCCCTCGCGCACGCGGCACGCCCAGTAGTCCTGGCGCAGGGCCTCGCGGCTGCCTCCCGGCGGTGCTCCCCTCGGCTCAGCCTGCGCGGCCGGCATGCGAGAGCCCAGCTCGAGCAGCGCGTTCCGCAGCTGGCAGTGCTCGATCTGCCGGCCCTCGCGGACGCACCTGCGGACCTCGGCCTCCAGGCGCTCCAGGAGCGACTCCTGCAAGGGGCCCTTCAAGAACGGAGGCTCGCCCGCCACCGCCGTCACGAGCCCGGCTGATTCTGCTCTCTCCCAGAGCCAAGCGAGTAAGCGCGCCACCGTAGTACCACCCGCGCCTTCAGGGCCGTCTGCGCCGTGGTCTGTGCGATTGGCCTGAGCGGGCCTTCTGGAGCGCTCGATCTCGAACGCTACCCCTTGGCGCAAGGAGAGCCAGGCGGCGGCTACGTCCCACATATGAAAGCCAAGGGCATTACTGTCCCGTGCGCGCTGGAGCGAGGTGCATGCTGACCACATCAGTGACAGGAACATCTGCGAGGCCGTCCCCGTCGGCGCGAGGAAGAGGTGGCAAGTCGGCTTCTGCTGCGTGGTCTTTTCCATGCGCCGCGTTACCACAGAGGCTACCATGGACCTGGACGGAGAGAAGACCATGCAGGTGCTTTGCACAGAGCCGGCGCGGATAGTTTCCGTGGCCAGCGGACGGCTGACCCTGAAATCCACGTGCATAGCAGCGACCTCCACAGCCGTCAGCCAGTTTTGCGGCTGCAAGGGCAGCATGGTGCGGATCTCGCACTCCATCGCGCCAAGCTCTCCGTCAGCGGCAGCGCAGAGCCGCCACAAGGCAGCACGCCCAGAGAAGTCCAGGCTGAGCACCCGCGCCACCTCGCTGAAGCTCGCGCCCGCCTTCGCCCCTGCCATCGTGCCAGACGCGTCAATCAGCAATGAGATCACTGGCAGCCCGTGTGCGCACGCCCTGTTCCTGAAGCGCTGCCCGACGCCAGAGCAAGAGCGACCGTGGGCCACTTCAAGCAAGCCGCCGCGCGACAGCACGGCGGACACCTCTGTTCCTTGGGCCATAGCCACCAACCACGCTCCGCGAGCTGTCTCGGCGCCGCAGTTCGGGCGGCCCGCCCCGTCAAATTCCGCCGCCTCGGCTACGACGGCCACTGCTGCGCCACCGGGGCCCTGCAGCTCCACCGCTTGGGAGAGCACGCAGCCGGGCTCCTCCGCGTCCAGGCCGACAGCGCTGCCAGGCAGCGAGGCCTGCACGCGGGCGGGCAGGGCCTGCACAGCGCCGCTGCTCGTGCCAAGCAGCAGTGCGAGGCGGGCACCGCGCGCCGGCGCGACCGCCAGCGCGGTGATCACTGGGGCGTGGCGGGAAGGTCCGCCGCACAGGTCCAGCTGGTGGGTCGCCAGGCAGGTGCACTCCCACGGCTCGACACCCACCCGCCAGAGCTCGACCAGGGACGCCCGCGCCGCGCACAGCAGCGCCGACTGCGGCCGCGCGACCCGCTCCCCCGGCAGAGGCGAGGGGCAGAACGCCACACGAGCGGGCGCGTACGGCGCCTGCAGGCCCTCGCCGCGCGGCCGCTGCTGCGCGGAGCGGCCGCTGGCCGGCCGGTCGGCGCGGTGGCGCGTGCGGCTGCGGTCGTGGGCGCCTGAGCGGGGCGGCGGGGGCCTCCTGGTCCGCGGTGCCTGGGCGCTGGCCTTCCTGCTCCGCGCAGCACAGGCCGCTGGGGGGTCCTGGGCGGCGTCCGCCTCGCCCGCCGCGCTGGGAGGCCCTCGGCTCGCGGGGGCCAAGCCCGGCTGCGGGGCCGCGATGGCGCAGACCAGGGGGGCCTCGCCCCGCGCGGCGTCGCCGCCCGCGGGCAGCACCACATGGACCCCGACGAGGCCCGAGGAGTCCACGGTGGCGAGCAGAGCGCTGCCACGGGGCCCGCACCCCATGGGTGACCAAGCGACTCCGGTGAAGGCGCGCCTGCGCCCGCGCTCCACGGCCTCTTCGAAACTCTCCGCACGGTCGTGGCTGTCCCAGCTTGTGAGCCCGAACCGTGCCTCCAAGGCTCTGGAAGACCGTGGCCCGCTGGAACCGGGGCGCTGTGCGAGGCCACGCTTGAGCTCCCGCCCGACGCGCCCCGCCCCACTGACGGGAGGCGCGTCCGGCAGTCCGATGCGCGCGACGACGACCGCCTCATGGGTGCGCTCGATGGCGGCCTCCGCGCTGACAACGTGCACGGCCTCCTCAGTCACCACCGCGACCAAGTTCCCAAGCGACCAAGCGATGCCCCCAGGAACCGGGGAGCGGCCGTAGATTGTGGCCGCCTGGGTCCACCTTGGCGAACCTTGCAT